AAAGTGGTATTTCTTAATACCAAAGGCCCTCGAACTCTTGCACCGAGATTGTGATAGTGTGTGTGTGTGTGTGAGTGAGTGTTAGGTGTTTAGGGTTTTCCCCCGACGCGCTTGATCCTTGTTTGCGTGATTCGCACTTTCACATTCATCCCCGTGCAAAGCGTATCATCTGGAGCCCACCACGAGGGTCTCCTTTTGTTTTTGATAAAGCAAAGACTTGAAAGTTTAGTGATCTACTGGATCATTCTATTTGAACGAAAGTTTGAATTAAAAACCGCTAGCGTTTGAAGCAATTTAAATACTAGTGCAGAGCCGTTCACCACGGCACCAAAAATCAGACAAACAGCGAATTCTATTAGAGCAGGGGAATCATCAGGTTTACCACCTCCACCTAAACGAAAAGCTAAGCAACCTGCAACAGCAGTAGTGCAAAGGTTTCCGTTAAGAACAGAGACAGTATCCCAACCACCTCCTCGCATGACTCGTAGAAAAACTGTTAGGGCATCTGATAATATAAACCCAAACTCGTTAGCCCAAAGAAATATTACAAACATGCCAGATAATACCCAAGATGAAGCTCCTGCCACTGGAGGCAGAAGATCGTCTAGACCGATGCCATTGCCAGGCTCTCGAGGAGCCCCTAACTTTGACAAGGAAAAACCCATTGAAATGTTAAGGTTCATTGACCAAATGGAGGACTTGTTCAAAGAGCATGGTATCAATGATGATCAAGAAAAGAAGAAACAGTTAGGAAGGTATACGGACCAAATGACGGAATTTGAATGGTGAGCATTTGACATGTTTGCTCCCGAAATTGAATACAAGGAGTTTAAACAGGCGTTGATCGATGACTATCCAGAGGCAAAGAATGCTGGAAAAGGAACACTAGCAAATTTGAGAAAAATTTGTAATGACCATCAGCGCATTGATATTGATGACATTGTTGCACTTAAAAGCCTCACTAGAGGTTTCCGGGCAGAACAAAAATTACTCTTGGTGCCACCTGCCTTGGTGAGCAACAGAGAATTGGTAGAACTGTTTTTAGGATGTCTAAGGGATAGTTTCCGAGGACAAGTGGAAGGAAGTCTCAATAGTAAGCTTTCCCCAGATAAAGGAAAAGCTGTCGATGGAAAAGAACGCCGTCCAGAGGATCCATATGCCATCCTAGATGTAATTGAAATGGCTGAGACTATTGCAGGACGTGCACAAGGGATTAGCTCTTCAAGTGATACCCGGGTTGGTGTCAATACGACAGAAACACGGACAACACGAGAGCATCACATGCATAATACACCGGCACATAGTGTTAAGCTAGAAGATGATATCCGAGAATTAAACCAGAAAGTGGCGTTACTCATGGATAAAATTACATCAAGTGAAAAAGCACAGATGAGCGCTTTCCAAGCATCTAGACAAGAAATGAACAAATTAACTGAGACGTTAATGACCCAGCATGTTACCTCAGCACCCACCATGAGGCAGACACAGCCTACTTGGAGAATGGGTTCAGATGGATGCTGGTACTGTGAAGAAACGGGGCATTTCGCGATGAATTGTCCTCATAGGGAAGAACATATTAGAACGGGAAAAATTTAAATGTCCGGTCATAAGATGTTTTTCGCGCTCACAGGACAACCAGTACCTAGAGGGACAAATGGGAAGTCTGCTAAAATGATTGTTGAGGAAGCTAGCAATAAAGATATGATGGCGCAAAGCAATATGTTTGCATCGCCTGGAGAAATTTACACACAGAACAGCGGAGAGCCAGGTATCATCCAGTTGGGAATAGATGCTCGAGTTAAATCAGTATACACCAACCAGATTAGAGATTCGAGAGATGATCTTTTAGATAAAATGGCTACTCGAATTGATACGCTGTTGGGTAATAATGTGCCGGCACAGGTGGCACGTCCATCGGCACAAGAAGTTGACATAGTTAACAATATGAAAAACATTCTGTCATATTTTGAGGAACAGCAAGGTCAAGGTCAAGAAGCTGCAAGTTATGTAGCTACTAGACGCAGTCAAGCTGATACTCAGGGACAGCAGGGTTTCTCGTAGTCAAGGATTGAGCGATCTGGTAGGAATGCGGTCAATACCAGAAGTAAGAAAGCTCTTGAGAACCAAACTAAAGCCAAAAATCGCAGACAATTAGCAGAATTTGAAGATTCTGATGATGAAGTAGAAGAAGTAGAAACAGAAGAAGTGGAAGAAGTGGAGGAAGAAATTCCCCCAGTAATAATTAAGAAAACCCAGAAAGCTAAACCAAAACCGAAAGAGAAACCTAAACCACTTCTCCCAAGGGATGATGAAGAGGATCCAGTGCCTAGGCATAAACAGTTACCATACTTAAATATTCCTGACCTGAATGATCCTAGACAAAAAGAAGAAATAAAGATTGATAATTTTGAGCCAATTATTGATACTGAGAAAAGACCTGTTTCTTATAAACACCAAGCACCAATTGAGAATGTGACACACGAGAGAGAGGCTTTAGCGAATCTCTATAATGCCCCAGTTACACTGACGGCAGAGACTTTGATAAGCATTTCCCCAGGTATTAGACACGACTTGATTAAAGCTTTATCTAAGAAAAGGATGCCAGTACAACAAGCTCAAAACCGAAAAGTTACTATGATGGAAGAGCCTGACGTTGATGTGGTACCGTTAAAACCTACAAAATTTGAATTGGAGGCGGACGCGATATCCATTAAAGATTTAAATATAAAAGCGGCTTTTATAGTGACAACAAGAGATGAAGGAAACGTGCCAAAAGGGTCTATCGTCATCAGTGATCCAGTAGCACAATACCTGCAGAGTTTAGGCCCATCTGAGAAACCGAAACAAATCTATGTTGCAAAAGAGTCTCATGCATTACGAACCGTCTTCCCTGTGATTAATAGAATGGGACAGATTGAATGTTTATTAGATGCTGGTTCTCAAATTATTGCCATGGATGTGGAAGTGGCTAAGAAATTGGCCATCTCATGGGATCCAGACATAAAAATTCAAATGCAGAGTGCAAACAGGACAGTTGAACAGACCTTGGGTCTTGCTAAAAATGTACCTTTTATCTTTGGAACTATAACAGTATATCTACAAGTCCACATCATCACTGACCCAGCATATAAAGTGCTATTGGGCAGACCGTTTGATGTATTGACAGAGAGTACTGTACAGAATTATAAAGACGGGGGACAAACTCTTATCATAGCGGATCCTAATTCAACACAACGATGTGTATTACCTACACATGAAAGAGGAAGACCACCTGTTGTAATGAAAGCAGAAATCCCTAAGCCATCTGAGGATTTTCGGTCTTCGATGAATTGATCGAAGATCAAGGAGAGATCGCTGTAACCTTGATAGATGATGGTAATGGTGGTTTTGAATGTGAGTCATATACATTACCAGGAAATGGAAAGTTTGAGCAAGATGAGCTGAGAAATCTCTATTTGCTACAAACTTTAAGAAATGATAAATATGTAGAAGAAAAAGACCGCCCTGCGCTTGTAAGTTACTTAGGAAAATATTTCTCCGATGTAAACTTAAAGTCAGGGGGGGATCCAAAATGTTGAAACCATGATGAATGACATTTATGACCATGAGGATAAAGCAGCACCTAAGGAAAGGAAAGAGGATCCTGTAGAGACTAGAGAGAGTTTTGTCACAAAGAAATATAAGCCCGTTGCACAGAAGATCAGGCCTGTATACCAAGATCTCCCAGATAAATTCAGAATAATTCGTGATATTAAAGGGAATCCTCTAGACACTCTCCCCAAATTGAATAGGACACCTCCTGACTTTGTACCCACGGGACGCTACACTGCAGAGAGAAAGGAACAATTTGACAAAGTCCACAGCGGTGACTTTTTGTGGTCAGAAGAACGAAAATTATTACACCATTTTATGATGGAGAATAATGAGGCTTTTGCATGGGATGACTCTGAGAGAGGAAGATTCAAACCAGAATACTTCCCACCTGTAGACATTCCTGTTATACCACATACACCCTGGGATCCCCTTGAAAAATATTCCTATCCCACCAGGATTATTCTCAGAAGTATGTAAAATCATTAAGACAAAGATAGATGCTGGAGTTTATGAACCTTCAAATTCGTCTTATAGATCACGGTGGTTTTGCATATTAAAGAAAGACGGAAACAGCTTGCGAATTGTACAGAGTCTAGAACCGTTGAATGCAGTCACAATAGCGCACTCGGGTTTACCACCTGCAACGGATGCACTTGCGACGCATTTCTCAGGTCGGGCATGTGGAGGCATGTTTGATTTATACGTAGGATATGATGAGAGACTTTTAGCAGAGTCTTCTCGGGATTTGACTACTTTTCAAACACCTTTCGGTGCTTTGCGACTTGTAACGTTACCAATGGGTTGGACTAATTCAGTACCAATATTCCACGACGACGTCACGTACATTCTACAAGACGAAATACCAGATGTTACAGTACCATATATTGATGATGTACCTTGCAGAGGTCCAGCAACTAGATATGAGTTACGTGGAGGAAATTTTGAGACTATACCAGAAAATGAAGGCATAAGACGTTTTGTAATGGAACACTTTGAGAATGTTAACAGAGTGGTTCACAGGATGAAATATGCTGGAGGAACTTTCTCAGGTTTTAAATCCACAATTTGTGCAGCTGAAATTACTGTAGTAGGTCATTTATGCACATATGAAGGAAGGAAACCAGAGACAGCCAGAGTAAAGGTCATTGATAATTGGGGACCTTGTAAAAATCTACATGATGTGAGAGCATTTCTCGGAACTGTTGGGGTATGCCGGATGTTTATTGAAAACTTTGCAAAGAAAGCACAGCCTATCAATGACTTGGCCAGGAAAGGTGCTCCTTTTGAATGGGGGCCTGCTCAAGAAGAATCCATGGCAGAACTCAAGAAGAGTCTCAGAGAATGTCCTGCATTAGTACCTTTAGATTATATTAACAATCCCAATCCAGTTGTATTAGCTGTAGACACCTCTTGGAAGGCTGTCGGCTTTTACATCTTTCAAGATGACAAAGACACAGGAAAAAGAAATTATGCAAGGTTCGGTTCTATAACCTTGAATGACAGAGAAGCAAGAATGTCACAACCCAAGAGAGAATTATTTGGTCTACTGAGAGCTCTTGAAGCTGCCTCTTATTGGTTACTTGGTGTTCGATGTTTAATAGTGGAGACAGATGCAAAGTACCTTGCTGGAATGTTAACAAATCCGGGAATGGGGCCTAATGCTACTGTTAATAGATGGATTGACAAAATCCTCATGTTCCACTTTACGCTGCAACATGTGAAAGGTAAAACGTTTGGAGCAGACGGGCTTTCCAGAAGAGATTGGCAGCCTGGGGATGAAGTTTACTTAAACTCGGAAGAGAATTTGGATGAACCAACCAGCACTTTAGAAGTCTTACCTGATCCGAATGGTGGCGAACCGCCTTTGGAATTTGAAAACTTCAAAGACCAGATAGATACTCGTGGAGGGTATGTTCTGTCGTTAGCATTGTCAATATCCGACTTTAATGACAAACTTGACAGAGAAGAAGCTTTGAGTGAACAATTTGCTGAGAACATCAAACAGAAAATTGACAATGATCAAAATGATCAAAATTGTAGCAAAGAACAGAAGGACTTCTTAAGGACCTTTGTAGTATCCACATTAATTCTGGATTTGAAAGCCAGGTTTGATGAAATGGAAACTGAAGACCCATATCCTGAAGAAGGCCGATCCTTTCTAGGAAAAACTCATGATGAATATCTGCCGTTAGTAAGAACATGGTTGAAAAAGCCAAATGTCAGACCAGATAATTTCACGAATAAACAGTATTTGTCATTTACAAGATTTGCGAAAGGATTCTTTGTTGACAAAGAAGACAGACTGTATAGAAGAAGCATTGATTCCAGACATAAACTGGTAGTAGACAAATCACATAGAATGTACATGATGAGAGCAGCTCATGACAGCCTGGGGCATAGAGGAGCTTATGCTACGAGGATGATGTAAGGAGAAAGATTCTGGTGGCCAGACATTGAACGCGATATTACATGGTATGTGAAAACATGCCATCGCTGCCAAGAAAGGTCCAAAAGAATTATAGAAATTCCTCCGACAGTTACTCATACGCCCTCTATTTTTCAAGTTCTTCATGCTGATACTGTTCACATAACACCTGCATCTAATGGGTGTAAATATGTTGTACATGGAAGATGCGCTCTATCTAGTTACATGGAAGGAAGACCTTTGAAGAAAGAAACGGCTCGGACTATAGCACTTTGGCTATTTGAAGAAGTAATTTGCAGATGGGGTTGCCTATCGGAAATTATTACCGATAATGGTGCTGTATTTCTTGCAGCTGTAAGATGGCTTCAAGAAAAATGCGGAATCAAGGGAATCCGAATTTCCGCGTACAATTCTAAGGCTAATGGAAGGATAGAAAGACCACATTGGGATGTAGTACAAATGTTAGCCAAATGCTGTGGACCACAGAACCTTGCTAAATGGTATTGGTTCTTTTGGCAAGTTTTGTGGGCAGATAGGATAACAGTAAGGAAGTGTTTTGGATGTTCACCATTTTATATGGTAACAGGAGCGCATCCTCTTATACCTCTTGATGTACAAGAAGCAACATGGCTGGTTAAATTGCCGGATCGTGTATTGACAACAGAAGAATTAATTGGCTATAGAGCAAGAGCTCTAGCCAAGCACAGGGTTCATGTCGCCGATATGCGTTGACGCGTGACCTTAGAAAAAATGAAAAGAGTTGCAAAATATGAAATCGAACATAGGAACAAGATAGTCAGTAGGATCTATAAGCCAGGGGACTTGGTGCTCATCAGAAACACGAGCGTCGAGTCATCTTTGAATAAAAAGATGAAACCCCGATATTTGGGTCCGATGATTGTAATCCGGCGTTCTAAAGGCGGCTCATATATTGTAGCAGAAATGGATGGATCTGTGTTCCAGAATAAAGTTGGGGCGTTCCGAATTATTCCTTATTTCGCTAGGACTAAAATAGCGCTGCCCGATGATATCCATGAAATCATAGATCTTAACAAAGAAACCTTAGACCAACTAGATAATGAAGGACTTGAAGATCGTGTCGATTCTAATGACTACTATTTCGAGGGAGTTGATCTTGACCAGAACGTTCATGATGACTCCAACGAAAATGGTTCAGAAGAGGATGATGATTAATTACGATTTTAAGTCCGAGTTTTATCTTCAGAAATGAAAAAGAGTGTGCCAAGTCCTAAGATACATGGCTAAGCAACCTTGGATGGAGATCTAAAAACGCTTTGGGTAGTGGCGCACGTATGCAAAAGATCATCTAGATTTTAAATGTGCTACAAATCACATAAGGACTCTAGGTGCCCTACAAAGTCCGTGTTTCAAGCTGGTTAAGCAAGGAATGCGTCGATTTCCTCATAATCCTTGAGTAAGTCAGCAATGGTCTCATACTCAGCATGAAGGACGTCATAGAGCTTGAGTTCTAAGTCCAAGCGCTGAATACTAGTGATAACACGGTTGCGCAAGTCCATCTCAGCAGTACGATAGTATTCCAACGTAGGCTCGCCGGGCATGGGGCTGTCAAGAACGGCCTTGGTGCGTGCAATGATGAAGTCCTTGATGGAACTATCAAGTGAGAGGGAATGGCCTGAAAATGAAAGAAAAGAATTTAAACTCGGAGTTTTATTCAGAAAAAGCGAGAAATTGCATACCTCGACGACACTGAAGGTCAACAAGACCATTGGAGTGGGGAAACTCAGTCCTGGCGCGTTTGTTGCTGGACGATGCAACCTGTCCGCTCTCAATCGCGGCAGCCTTTGAATAAATCCGGTTTTCAGTGTCCATGCCAGGGACTGCGGTGTAAGGAATACACACCGTCTCTGCGCGCTTGAACACGGCCTGGAAGGAAAGATATTCATATGTGTCAGTGATTATTACAAATAAGAAGCGGTGTTATTTCTTACCTTGGGCGTAGTGCGTTTCTTGCCTTTGTCCTTGGTAGATATCTTTGCTTCGACATCTCCATTAAAGAGATTGTCGATGGTCATCTGAGCAAATGAACGAGTAAATGAATTGATAAGACCTAATAAATAATGAAATACGCACTGCATCAGATCCAGAGGCGGCAGTAATGGGTCCGTCAGATGCACCCATAGTGACATTGACGTCGCCAACGATCTCGATATCATCGTCGTCCTTGTCATCGACGGTAGCCTTGGATTTGACAGCCTTGCGAGGGCGGGGCTAGGCAGAAAAAGTGTTTAATTATTAAAAGACGGAGATAAAATAAGAGTGGACAGACCTTGGGCTTGACATCAAGTAGCGCAGCAGCGACATCGGCTGCACCACGCTTCTGAGCATTGGTAGCATCCCGGATGAGCTGGACCTTCTTGCAGAAGTCCCGGATGATGTTGAAACCAGGTGGATCGGTAACTGCCTTGTTCGAGTCGTTAAGAGCATTATACTCCTGACGGACGATGAACACGGGCTCCGAGAGGTTGTGATCAGTGAAGATAGCCGGATCGCCACTAGTGACAAGCTGGTGCTATCCACAACAGAAAAATATAGTCAGCACATATACCGCGGAAAAATAATGTCAAAGACGCACACAAAAGCCAGCAGTAGCACCGAGCATGCTGAGCGTCACCGCTTGGGCAAATTTGCCTTTCGCGTCGACATAGCTTTTGAACGCCTCATTGATCTTGTCGCGAATAACGAGGGTAGCAGCAAGAGGAGCAGGAGTAGACATGTTAAGAGATGCTTGAGTGGACGAAATGGGTTGGAAAATTTGTTCTGAATTTTCTGCGACTTTTTCCCTGTCTTTTATAGCACTTCCACCTTCTCGTGCCCCTGTTGACGTGCTTGGACTTGGATTGAATAATGAAATGATGAGGAATGGAACCCCTATTCATCTAGAATCTGGGATGAAGGGAACCGGACTTCCGTGATTTATAAATAGATTTAGCCATCACTGATGACGGCCTCCATACGCTTGGAAACACAACTGAGGACAGTTGATTTTAAAAGTAAGGGGGAGGGTCAGGGTATATTAAAGAACACAAAAATATACATTCTGAGATCAAAATATGACATTTTGCGATTTTATTTCCGTGAAATGAACTTAGAAATGGATTTCAACTGAGCCTAAGTCGAAAAATTGACAAGCTAGCTCTTAAAATCACACAGAGAGAACAAGAAGATTAAGTTTTATCTAAATACACAAGATAAAACTACCAAGATACTGCAAGATAATTGATATGAAGAAAAGTCCGATAAAAATCCATGGAATGTGAAGTGGCACTTAGGGACTACCAGCGGGATGGCCCTCCTGTACAGGGTCCTCGTCATCGTACAGCTGGTCATCCTCCTCACCATCCTCTCCCTGTTCAGCCGGATCATTGTCTTCATTCATCCGAATTGTCTGGGTAGAAAGCCCGCGTCGTGGAAGACGAGGGCAAGCGTGTTGCATATAGGTGGCAAGAGTGGCCAGTACATCCTCCTCATCTTGTGGAGCGTCGTCCTTGGATAACTTGCCGACGAGAGAGATGAAATGAGGAAGGTAATGGTCACGTTCTTCCGCATTACGGAAGACTGTGCCAATCAACCCCTCCTCCCCATCCATGGCCGCGAGATCAAAGACTGCGTTGGCAGCCTGACGCATTTGGGCATCTCGACGATAGCGAATGGTGTTGACGATGGCCTCAAGCGAATGAAGGATCCGTTGGTCACGGATCGCGTTCCCAATGAGATCAGCGATTTCTAAAGATAAAAAGACGGACTTTAATAAAGAAAAATGAATGAAACAACGAAGAACACTTACTATCAGGAGAAAGACGAGTGGCGCGACGGCCCAACTGGTTGCGCACCTGTCCTCGAGGAATGGGGTCCAGCTTGTACTCGCAAGCGGGGTAATGCGATCTTTCACAGGGGATGCAGGGCGAACCCCAACCCTGGAAGACACATCACTCCTCTTTTGAGTTCTTGCCAATTGTGCACTGGATGCACGGTTCGGGGATCTATCAAAGATGAAAATTAGAAGTAGAAAAGAATGAATAAGATATATGGACTTACAAAGACGTGATCTCGGAGAAGCTCCTCTGCTGGAGGCATCTCGCTGAAATCAGCAAAACGCTGGTGAGGAGGCACTATACAAAATGTAAGTTCAATAGAAAATAAAGAAACATAGAACTTACGGAGCCTTTTCTTATTGTAAACAATTGCGGGAGCAAAACCCCGAGATTCTATAAAAACGACAAGTCAGAAATAGGAAAAGATAAGACAAAGAGAAGAAAGACTTACCAGCTTTGCGGGGACGGCCTCGCTTTGGCTTAGTGACAGGTGGAGGCAGGGAAGCAATGTCTTGCTCCGATTTGCCTTCCTCCTCAGCCTCTGCGTCGTCCACTCGTTTGCGCTTGTTAGTTTTCCGGGAAACACTGGTGGAACCGAGAACGCGACTCGTACGTGCAATGGCCTCTGTTTTAGCCTGGCGTTCGCTTTTGGGACGACGTGTGTGCATAACGACCTCAGGGATGTTGAGGCGTGGCGGTGCAAGAATCCGAGAGGCTGGACACGGTGTAACTGGAGCCGGCGGTGAAAGCGTGACTGGGAATGGTGCCGCGGACCTAGTCGAGTTTGCTGGAGAAATGGGCGTATAAGCCCGATTGAGCAACTTGTGGCGTTTCTGAAAAAGAAAACAAGACAGCTATTAGAAAGTGAAAAATCGGAGAAAATGAGAAAATAACTTACAGGGGGAGGCAAATGGTCCTCTTCGATGACCATAGGCTCGGGAACAACCTCCTCAGCAGAGACGTCTTCAGGAAGTTTGTCGGTGGCGGCGATCTCCACAGGATCCTCGATAGGCGGAAGACCGTCTTCCTCGCGGACCTCGGCAGGAGCAGCCTCAGCCATAACAACCTCAACGGGAGGGTCATCCGGAGTCAAGAGAGTCGCCAAGAACTCCTCTGTAAAACATTCATCCTAGAAAGGTTAAATCAGAACTGAAAAGAAAGAAATCACCGGAAAATACGTACCTCAGGGTATTCACCACCATTACGTGGTCCTTCGAGCATCCACACTTCCCAGTCGGGGTCAATGGAGTCCGCGTCAACCCTGAGTTGGGCGTTGAAAAGAGACTTGCGTAGTCGAATGTCGCACTCGGTCTCCGGAACACCGTCGATGGTGATGCAGATATACTCAAGCTAGTGAGAAAACATATTAGCCATAGAAAAAAGATACAATGAAAGAAAGACTTACGAGGAATGGTTGAGCCAAGTTGAGAAGTTCCACGATGATGTCGGAATCGAGCTTCGCGTAACCAGGTTCGGAAAATAAAGCGCGTGCCACGTCAAAGACAGCAAGCATGTGCTCAGAACCAATGAAGTTGAAGCGAGAGATGGACATGGTGAAGTGACAAAGAATGGGACTTGGGGATGAAAAACAAAAAGAAAGGCGCAAGAAGGACGGTCTTATATATATAAAGGGTCATATATTGACACCGTGTCTTCCTGGAAAATACCACGTCGATCTGTTGCTGTTTCCTGAGGATCCTGCAGCTTCTGAAAAGTTTATTGGGTGCTTGCACTAAAAATAGCTTTTTCGGAGTTCCTTGTCCTGACAGGCGTGAGATACGAGCTAGAAGAGGAAAAGCGTCGGTGTGGCGGACAGTGATACTTTCAGAAAATGTCAAAGACATGTCAGTAACCCTGAGTAGTCTTGGCGATCCGTCGCTAGAATAGAAAACCGTGTGAGCCATAAGACAAAGTCCAAGAGATAATATGTCCTCAGAGGGATCTTGCAATGACTGAGGACGGTCAGTATTAAAGTGAGGGGGAGATGATACAGGTGAAACGTGTTCAACCGTATAAAATCCGATTTTCGCGATTTTACCGTTAAACGGTCTTCTCTGCAACTATACTACATACAGTTGTAATGATATAAAGAGTCTATGAACATACCCGGTTCAGTAGACTAAAAGTGCACATGCGTCGAGTCTGAACATAGGACAAAGGCTTTGGAGCTGGCAGCAGTATGCGCCGTGACATTATACTTGGAGCCTACTAGGATTCACCCACCATGAAATAGAGTACAAAGAGACTCTAGAGTAAACCACCCAACGCAGGGAACAAGATTGCATTACTACCAAGGGTTTAGAAACACGAAATGGATTTTAATATGAAAAACTCGGTCTTTTATCTTGTGATAAATCTACCAAGACTTCTAGAGGATAAACTACATGTGGACATTATGAGATAATGTTCTACTACTAGAGAGACTATGTTACAACTATGTGGCATATGTACCGAGACCAAGCGTGGCTTGTGGCCATGTAGAACGTCGAGTACGGCAATTCCCGCGTACGCATCAAAGAGTGATGCGTCGTATCGTCCAAGACGTGTGATGCGCACACCTGGAAAGACATTAGGTAATCCATCCTGGAAACCCCCCTGATAATTAAGAAAGTCATTTGAAGCTCTTCGGAGTGCCATCCGATCTCCATATGATACAGGAACCGTGCCGAGGTATTTTAAATTAACGGCCTCTGGAAATAAAGAAGCCGGCAGTGTGTCTGCATACGTATCACACGCATCAGCACGCCCATCACTGAAATGACACGATATGTCAAATTAGTAGCCGA